TTTATCGTTTGTTTATATTACTTTGATTTTTCAGAATTGGTAAAACTACTTTTTAATATCTAATTTTTCAGCTACAATAAGTGTCTGAGCTTGTTCTTGTGTTTCTGTGTTCAGGCCCAGTCAGACATTGAAGCTCGAATGTCTCAGTTGTCCAAAGGCATCCAGAAGCTGCTGCACACAGACAGGTACACAAACACTTTGTAGCCGTTTTTGTTTTTGCAGGACCTTGTAACAAAGAACTGACACTCGTTGAATGTTTTGCCACACTGCAACCAAAGACAAAGCATGGTTTTAATAGTAGATATCTACTCTGACCAATTTAGGTTTAGCTCAGTGTAGGTAGACGTCCATGTCTTTATTTTATTTGGAGGTGTTAGAGAAAAAGGGGGTTGAATAGATTTGCACATCAGGGTTTGAATGGAAAACTTGAAAAATGATGCATGGCTTTTCTTCAATTTCACAATAATCATCTAGGTTGTGTTGGTCTGTCACATAAAATCTCAAAAATTTTCAAGAAAAACTTTGAAATTTCTGAGTTTCAAAAGTAAAAAATGTAAAATTTTTAAAACTCGATTTCAAGGCATTAAGTCCATTTCTGAGATTTTTGCTATAAATTTACTATTTCTTTTTTCTATCTACAATGGTCCTAATGAACTGATGTAGAACGCTGATGTAGATTCTGAAGCTTGCAGAGAAAAACAAAAATCACAAAACTATTTTTTTGAACATGTAGTAACCGTGTTTTGCCTGTAGATGGCTGTAAAGTAGCTTAACACAGAAATTATTTTTTGTTGTAGCCTGAGAAAACGAGGAAGTATTATTATTATTAAATTGTTGTTATTACCACAGGTTTCGAAATGTGTGTTTGAATAACTGATTGAATAGGGGGAAAAAATCCTCAAAATATTAAGGAGTAGATTGTGGTCTGGTGGATCATACCTGATGAATTGTTCTGTGTGATTGGATTGTGAACAAGCTGCTACGCTTTCGTCGTATCTGAAGCAAACTGCCTGTGACAGTTGTGGCCTGACTGTGTGTTCTGATATAAGGGAGGATGATGGCCGAAGACGGAGTCTGAGTCAACACACTCTGCATCGCCTGGAGACGCTGCAGAGCCAGCAGCTGCAGCTGCAGGTACACTGCTTCACCTGCTCAGACACTGCTGCTGCTGCTGCTGCATCCTCCCTCTGCCTTCTCACTGATTATTGGTTCTCCTCTTGTCCAATCAGAGCCAGCTGCTGGAGTCAGCTATCAAGATAGTGACGGGTCAGGATTCCATCGCCTCAGTCTCTAAAGGTCAGTCTGCTGTCACCAGTTGGCTGCCTGCAAGCACACATCCAAAAACCTCGACCCAAACGGATTTGTTAACTATATCTGGGTTTATTTCTGTTTATGATTTCAATGATGAGAATAAGAAAAGGTGAATGGAAATGGGTTAAACAGATTTCTGTCACTTTGAGGTGTCAGTTAAATCAAATATTCTTGTTTGGAATGTTAACAGTCGGTTATCAGGTTTAGAGGTCCAGCTTGTTCCTATAACAAATGAATTCAGATTTTTGTATTTAATCAGGTTATCTTTGTCTGATATTAAATGATAATCTGACAAAAAACGAAAAACAGGAGAAATCTGTAAGGGGCAAAAAAATGGATTGAAGTGACTTCAGACAGCCTGAAGTGTTCTGATGATATGACCAGACTGAAATCAAGTCAGCTCATCGTTTGGTTCCACGTCAAAATACAGTAAATGCTTTTCTATTGGACAACCTACGATTTCTCTCAGCAGCATATGAAATTGACTAACAGCTCCTTTGTTTGCACACATTGCTGCATTGCTGTCCACTTTGTCGCAAAATGACAGAATGCCTTCAGAATTTCTAATCATTCACAGAAACGTTGTCTCCTGTCTTCCACCAGCAGAAGTCAAGGACCAGAAGCCAAGCTCGACAGGAACCGGAGGGCCTGCTATTGCCCCTGCTGTCATGCCGACGGATGCAGTTGCCATGGAAACATGCCACTGTGACTCCAGGCCAGAGCAATCCAGGTAAAATTGGACACGCTTACAGAGGGTACCTCATCACTTCTGTTTTGTTCAATTTGTTCAGCTTAGCTCTGTGTGTAAGGCAGCAGCAGCTTCACTGTAAATGGGCAGTTTGCTGCAGTTGGAAAGCAGCCAGATTCAGTGAACGCCCCTATGTTTATATATTTATATATTTATTATCAAAGAAGCGTTTTCCACCATGAATAAACGGCTCTCAGAGCCAGTGTTGCCTTGGTGCTGTGGTGGCTGACACCTGACAGCTCTGGTGTTTTGTTAGCTTATGGTGTCTCTGTTTTCTTTGTAGGTTTGCTTTACGCACCTCAAATGTCCCAAACACCCACGTCAGGTCGATTTATTCTGATTCTACGTTTGAAAACCCCCCAAAAAATGATTACTTTATATGTTTGAATTTTGGTTTTTCATTGTTGGTTCAATGAGAGCGTCGATCCCTATAAATATCCATTTTATCATATAATTGAATGCAGCTACTGTGTGCTGATTGACAACACAGGGGCACTAATTAATGTAAATGATGTCATCTATAAGATAATCCGTGTTTTATTTTTAGAATTGTGCTTATGGAGTTTTGGCTGTATGTAATTATAGATATATTACCAAATACTTTGTAAAGATGTGATAGTTTTGTTTTTTGTTTGTTTTTTTATTGTTGTGACAGTAAACTTCACAAATATTCTATTATTGTATTGTCAATAACTCCAGACAATACAAGTTGAGGGATTTTAATGAAACACAAATTGGAATATTTGTGTTCTACAGACTTCATTCTTGCAGTTGTCCTCAATCCAAACATCTCACCAGTTTCTCCACCAAATGGAAGAAGACACTAGTTTAGTGTTAGACACATGAAGCAAAAACTCCATCATTAAATGAAAAGCGTCATATTCAGGTGAAGCATTAATAGTTTTGCATAGATGTAAATCTGTGCATGTTAGGCTTTGTGTTTGACCAAGAAAGGATGTAGATTTAGAGGAGAGAATCTGCATTCAAAGCACCAGAATGTCTTAACTGAACCCATCTCTGCTTGTATGCGCGTGTTTGTGTGTGTTAGGTGATTTGCATATTTATGCATAGAGAGTGAGAGTTGGGGCAAACAAGGCTGCAGCTCATGATGTTGAGCAGATTCCTCCCCCTTTCTTTGTGGCCAGCAGACGGGTTTCTAGGGCAACACAGGGTACCCATCGGAGGGATGTGTGTGTGAGTGTGTGAGAAGAGCTGGCAGTGAAAAAGCACTACCTTGCTGAAGGTGTGATGTCCTCAGATTGCATCAGCATAACATTGTGGTATGTTGACAAAAAATGATCTTAATACAGTGATTCTTAAAAAAAAAAAGCAGTAAATAAAAAAATAGATTGCTTTCATTTTTTTTGTCTTCCTGTGGTATTTTTATTTTTCCAGGTATTTTATGTACCGTTTTGCAGCAGGTATTCTGATTTCCAAATGGATGCACACTGATTTGGGCAGAGGTGGCAGTCAGTCAGTTTCCCATCGATCTGAGTGATCGACGAGTCAAAACCTGTGACATCTGAATCCCGTTTGAGGTTGGAAACTCATACTGTGAGGCAAAAACAGGAAGGATTTTGCGATTTTTTTTTGTTCTTTCTCTTTTTTTGTTGGATTTAAAACTACTAACTAACAAAGACATAGATTATCTTACATATTGTAGTTGAAACTAAATCTGAACTGGGAAGTAAAACTCAGCAGATAAAAATCGATCAGTCAGCTGATCAACCAATTCCAATTTCCTTTGCTTTTGATAATCAGCTGGTACTTAGACCTCCACAGAGGTCTGAAAATCCAGTATTGTCTCCTTTTGCATGACACAGACAGACTGACAGACACACTGACCAGGAGCTCACCTCTGCATGTGATCTGTCAACAACAGTCGCTCTGCTGAAAACTCAGCACTTTGTTGCTATGTTTTGAGACTTGTCAGCCACAATAACAACTTTTGATGGATCTAATAACTCATTTCTGTTTTACTTTGGCTACAGTGTCAGTTCTAAAAGAAAAATCTACAGTTAAAATCGGATTCAACGGGTCAGGCTTTTTAAAGATTGGTGCAATCGGTGCAGCCCTAAAAATGTTGTCAGTAACTCCAGTCACAATCTGCATCACATCAGGCAGCGATATCAGAGCATCAGTGCACAGGCAGCAAGTTTTGGCTGCGAATATAGTTATTTGTTGACATAGTTATTTGTAGAAGAGCCAAACTGAAAATAGGGAGGAAAAGAACACTGGTGATTTTTGAGGTAAAAGATGACATAAACTAGGCTTCTGTCTCAGCAACATTTTTACAATTCACTACGGTGAATTTAAGACTTTGTCTATGAGGTTGACATTCACACAGTGTGGGCCCTGCTTAGGATCACAAAGACAACTAGAAAGTGGAACTGCTAGGAAAAGCCTGATCGGAGTGTTGCTACATGCAGGGGTTTGTGTTTGTAGTTCTGCAGATGAAGTGCAGTAAAACTGCCTAGCAACCGACACATCTGCAGCATCCCTGTTCAAACCACCATCAACTTTAGAGCTCATTGTTTTTAACGTTGATGCTGAGCTGATTGGTGGATATAGTTGTTTTAGAATATGGCTACTTTATATTCGGCTAATATTTAAATGTTACAAATCTGATCTCTTCCACTCAAACCTTTGGTTGCTAGATATTGGACCTTTTTTTTTCTACATTGCAGTTGTGTTTTTGTTTGTTTTTTTACATGCAAGCCCAGCTTTGTTTTTTCTCTCGCCATCATCTTTTGTTGTGACCGTTTTGTCGCCTTCCCACAAACTGCAGCTGCTTCTTCCTGACAGTAATGAGAGCGAAAGCACCAGCAGTATTCATTCTGCTGCTTGCCAAGAGGAATCCCTTAGTTTTCCAGGTGGCCTGGCTGGGAGGTCGCAGAGGGGCGGGGTGTCGCAAACCAAATTCCTAAGCCTTCCTGAGAGGATGCGGGAGGAAACGCACAACACCCCCACCATCTCTGCTGCAACATCACAAGGGAGGAACAATAACACGCCGCAGTCTGTCCTCCTCATTCATTCTTTTTAGGCTGTTGCGGAGCAGCGGAGGGTGTGAGCAGCTCAGAGGAGGAGGCAGGGAGGGAGACCGACAGAGGGAAGATGTCCTCCCCGCAGGTCTCCTCATCCCGCAGACAGTCGTGCTATTTATGCGACCTGCCCCGCATGCCCTGGGCCATGATATGGGACTTCACCGAGCCCGTGTGCCGGGGCTGCGTCAACTACGAGGGCGCGGACAGAATCGAGTTCGTCATCGAGACGGCGCGCCATCTGAAGCGGGCTCAGGGCTTCCAGGACAGCCGGTCCTCTGCAGGCGGACTGCCCGCGCAGCAGCAGTCCGCTGCCGCGAAGAGCCAGGCGGTTTTACTGAGCGGGAAGGAACCTCTGGGGCAGCTGAGCCACTACCAGGCGGATGGACAAGGGAAGTCCCAGCAGCCCAGTTTGGACCGATACGCACAGGTAGCGGATGGCCGGGCTCGGTTTGACTACTCGGTGCACAGCTGCAGCAGCAGGCCGCCCAATGGATTCGGGGGGCTGAACGGCTTTAAGACAGATGACGGACCACCTGAGCTGAACCGGCAGAGTCCAAACTCCCGGAGCAAAAGCAACGGTGGGCTGGTGTCGGCACCAGCCCAGATGACCGTACCGCCGAACCTCATGCCTCAGACCGGAATGAACGGACCGACTTCGCACAGCTTGGCGGGCAGACCCCCTACCAGCTCCATGGTGGTCGTCTCTCTGCCCGGCCAGGCGGGACACTCCGAGCTGGGTGGAAAGCGACCCGCCTCCGTGTCGAGCACCGACCAGGACCGGGAAATGAAGGAGAAGCAGCGGAACGCGGAGGCTCTGACTGAGCTGAGCGAGAGCCTGCGGAACCGACAGGAAGACTGGGCGAGCAAACCGAAACCTGTGCGGGAAACGCTGGTCCTCCTCTCCGGGTGCACACCGTTTGATGTCCGCTTCAAGAAGGACCACGGGCTGGTCGGCAGGGTTTTCGCTTTCGACGCTGTTTCCAAAACCGGGATGGACTATGAGCTGAAAATCTTCATTGAGTACCCATGCGGCTCCGGGAACGTGTTCTCCAGCGCCTCGGGGGTCGCCAAGCAGATGTATCAGGACTGCATGAAGGACTTCGGCAGAGGCCTGTCCTCTGGGTTTAAGTATCTGGAGTACGAAAAGAAACACGGGTCCGGGGACTGGCGCCTTCTCGGAGACTTATTGCCGGAGTCTTTGCGCTTTTTTAAAGAGGCAGTGGGGGAGGATATGCTGCCGCAGCCTTACATCGACGGCAGCTGCCCGCTGCTGCCGACATCACTCGTTCTTCCAGGTCGAGCTTCAGCTTCCGGCAGTGGCAGCAGCAGCACCAGGGCCGCAGCGAGGAAGAGAAAAGCCTCCCCGGAGCCGGACTCTGCTGAGGGCAGCCTGAAGTTGACGGATGAGCAGCAGAGGCAGCAGTGGATCAACAGCCAAGCTGAAGCGCTCAAACTCTCGATGGCTGCGGGCTCGTTTGCTGGGCCTCCGCCCCCGCTGACCCCTGGGCACCCCGGCGTCTCTTCCGGCCGCGCCACCCCTCCAGACGCAGCGGCCCCTCAGAACAGGCAGTCCCCGATGGCTGCGCTTTTGTCAGTGGCAGACACGTTGGGGAACGCGTACTCTCCCAACAAAGACAGAGACTCTGTTCACTCCACCACTTCCTCGTCGAGACATAATAGCAGCAGCCCAGTGTCTCCCCCTTCCGTGTCCGGCCAGAGGCGCCTCTCCTCACGGACCGGAGACACCGGGCTGTCCGCAGCGTCGCAGTCCGCCGGTGCCATGGACCAGCTCCCGTCTCAGAGCGTGCCCGATTCACCGATGGCCAACAGCGGACCTTTGTGCTGCACTATCTGCCACGAACGCTTAGAGGACACGCATTTTGTCCAATGTCCCTCTGTCCCCAACCACAAGTTTTGCTTCCCGTGCTCCAGAGAGAGCATCAAGGCCCAGGGGGCGTCTGGGGAGGTGTACTGCCCCAGCGGGGACAAATGTCCCTTGTTGGGCTCCAACGTGCCCTGGGCTTTTATGCAGGGGGAAATCGCAACCATCCTGGCTGGAGATGTGAAGGTTAAGAAGGAGAGGGACCCGTGAGGAGACTGAAAGAGGACCCTTAATGTCAACCTTCCTGATGGAGAGAAAAAGTAACATATCATGACCACACAGTGGTTCTGCTGCTGAGCCTCAAAAAACCATTTTCTACATGATTAGAGAAAAATACAAAAAAACAAACAAAAAAACCCACACAAAACAAATAAATGAAAATAATAAAATCAGTTTGCTCATAATTTTTAGATCAATGCATTTTAGTTACCTAATGAAGCTGCTTCTCTGACAGTTTCAGCAGATGACACAAAAATGACTTTTGCTATCATGATTAAAATAACTTTGTAGGTTGTTTTTGTTGTTTGAATGAAATCTGTGTGTCAATGTGCTTTTTATCTCACATTTTGTTTGAGCAAATCTGTTGAAACAAAAACAAAAAATTCACCAGGTTTTTTCAAACTTAAACAATGACGTTTTGCTTTCTTTAAGAAAGCACCTAAACAGTTTATGAAATACTATGTACCAATGAATGAAGTTGTAATAATTCTTTTATCATGTCATATTTGCAGGATATCTGTTTATTGGTGCTTTACCTTCCAACACTTTAAATATATACACTATAACAGATTTCCTGTTTAAAATGTGGTGTTAGTACTATTACTGCAGTGAAGGACCTATTAACCCTTCCTCCACTACTTTGTATACATGTTAATAAGTATATAAAGAGTGCTTGGATGTTTAGATTACAGTATAAAAATAAAGGTGGAGTTTGGTAGTGAAGACGGTTGACTTCCTGTTTCATATTAGTATTCCTCTCCAGTTGGTTCTGCTGTTATCCTGCAGTATTTTAATGGATCAGAAAAGCTCTAATGTTCTTGTAGCGCTGCTCCAAACTTACTGGGTGGTGATGTGTTGATGTCTGACTGTCTCTGCTGGAGCTAAGGCAAAAACAAAAGACCAAATTAGAAAATGACTCCAGAAAAGAGCCTGGTAAAGAAGTAATAGTTTTGAGTGCAGCGTTGTGAGGGAAGACTGCTGAGGATTTTGCACTGGTTACCTATTCCAACAATGTTAATTCAGACAAAACCATGTAAAATATTCTAAAGCTCCTACTTTTTTATTTTTTATTTTTTTAACATTACCTGAAGAATATCCTAAACAATCTTCCTTCATTTACTGCCATCTGTGGTAAAAGAGGAAATATTTTCTTTGTTCAGAAAAATATTTTAGGGTTCTGAGTGGTTTATGTTCTGTTGCACAAACCACCACAACACCTTAGGATCAGTGATAGATTTTTAAAGAAACTATTTGTTGCTGCTGTGTGTATGTGGTTCATGCTCCTATGAGATATGACTAGAACCCCAGGACTTTGTCCCAGTCATGGCTGCTCATCTCCTTCCCTTTCCGCCGAAGTAATAAAACACCAATGTCTGCGTCAGGTTTCCATGACTCCCCTGAAAGTTTAAAGCATAGTTGCTGGAATAAAAATGTTTATCATTTTATTGCTAAAATCATCTGTTTTAAATCCCTGTTAGAGGATTCCTTTTCTCACTCTATGAAGAGCAAGAGTTGGGCTGAGCCCCCTACTGTAGGAGAAGCTGTGTGTGTAGTGGGAGGGGCTACTGCTGTCAATAACCCTGTTTTGGACTTTATAGTGGAAAGATGGTTCCAGATTTTATAGTGAAATGCACCTTAAAATCCTTAAACCTCATTTTAAAGATTTTTCTTTATTAATTTTACTATTTGCAATTTTATTGTGAAATAATTAAAGAAAAGATTTTTAATTTATATAATTTAAGGGTTAAACAGGCGCAATTAAAGCAAAATGTAAATCACTACAGTCCGTCCATAATATTAATCTAAAAAAGGAAGTGGAGAGAATATTTGACATTTTTTTCTGCTGAATTTCTAAAGTGAGTTAATTCCTTTCAAACTGTAAATTATTTATATTGTCTATTCACCAGATTTTGAATTTAAAAAACAGAAATGTATTAGCGTCATAACAAGTATCCTCATACTTTATGAATTTGAATGGAAAATCAATATTGATGTTGATAAATTTCAAACTTATGACATAAAGAGCCAAGTCATTTTTAAAGACTGCATGTGTAAATAATTTAACAAATGTACTTTTTTTTTTTACCTTTATCCAAATCTGCTGTTTAAAGGAAGAATTTTTCAGTAAGAAAATATTAAAATTCATAATTTAATTTAAAAAAAAATAAATGTGTACATCGAAATATTGTTTTTATAGGTAAATGAAGAGTTTGGATAGGTTATAAATGACCAGTTTTGGGTGGATTTATCCATACGGTACAGTCAGTCTTCCTTTTCCCCAGCTGACACATCTGAATGAAATCGTCCAGGACTCCTCTCCACACCCAGAGCTGAGGTTGTAGCAGAGGCACAGTGAAACATAAATGTTCCACATGCTAATGTCTCATAAAAACTCATCGAACAAAGTAAAAAAAAAAAAAAAAAGAAAGTGGTTGTGTTTTATGGAGAAGTGTTATCAGTGATGTCTTTGGAGAGCTAGACAGACTTCATCACATCATAACGGGCTGTCAATAAGCTTAATGATTTCATTAAATTTTTTATTCCAACTGTTTAGTCATTTTAGTATGTTTTCAGTTAGTCCTAAAACAGTTTTGTACATTTGGGAATCTGTTCTGTATTACGGACTGTGTCTTTTTGTTATGCCCTTTTCTGTCGTGATGCATACATATGATGAAACTAACACATTTGATATTGTAATGTGCCTTGGGGCTGAGTGAGTTCTAATAAATTCCATTGGAGTAAAGTTTTCATTGAAATGCATCTTTTCTATTTGATGTTCTGTAATTCAGAGTCTGAAGAGACTCAGAGCTTTAAATAGTTTTTGTCTTTCAACCTTCTTTGTCTTTTCAAACCTTAGAGTGAAAACACTCTAAGGTTTTTACTGAGGCACTACATACAAACCAGGTTTTACAACACTGTGCTGACTGACCAGAGGTCTGTGTGTGTTCTCTTTTAATCACAGCACAATGCAACCAGCAGACCTGAGGCAATCCAACAACGTTATCCAATCTCTTGCTGTTGATTCACTGTAATATTCCTATCAAGCATTGTGTGTCTGCTTAAGCTTCAGTCATTGTTGTGACAACCACTACAGGTTCTGTTACAATTAGCATGATAGTTTTTTTTAAATTTCCCTTTGGGATTAATAAAATATTTTTGAATTGAACTTGAATTGAAATGAAGTGAATTTCTTGCCAAAAGGAATCCTGGTAAGATTCACAATGTTAAAATACTGAAGGACCAATTTCACAAATGGATGTTATCCATTGAATTATTTTATTCTTTCAACACGCTGTTCCTTTATAAAGCCACATAAATATAAAGCCCTCTCTGAGCTGTTGGTGGTTACTCAACTGAGTCACCAATTAAGCTGAGACTTTCCTACACACAAGAGCTTTTAAAAATCAAGGGACCAAAGGGGGTGGAGAGCAGAACTTAACTCCGCTGAGTTCCACATTATAGCTGAAATTTTTGTCAGACTCCTCCATATTATATTTTTTTTATGTCAAATGAATTTGTATTAACATTTACAGTGAATACCAACATGTGAAAATATACTGCAGATATTTTACAGAGCATTGTAGCATCTGTAAACACAAATTCTACAATAGGAAACATAAAGAAAAGAGGGTATTCAGGTATTCAGACAAAACAATAGTAAAAAGGAAACTGAACATCTTCATTGCAAGTGTTTAGAGCGGACCTTCGACAACGGTGTTGGTTTTCATTAAGTCTGTTTCTTGGTGTTGAATAGTCCCACTTATTCATAAAAATGTCTTGTATTCTGAATTTCCTCCATCATGTAAATTTCCTGACACCAATTTGAGCGGACTAAACACCGGTGGCGTTAAGATTTCTACTTTCTGTCACCACAGCGCCTGTAGAAAATACTCTTTGCTGAAGTCCAGTTCTGGCTTTGCATACTCACTTTTGCAAGTCTGTGTTAAGAAATGATGTGCATTATGTAACACAACAACCTCCCAACAGGTTTTTATCTTAAAGCCTCTTGGTGGAAATAACTGAAGTGCCTGCTGTATCCCACCGCCGAGCTGGGAAGCCAGCTACTCCTGAACTGATGGAACTGTTCCTACCTTGGTTGGTTTTGAAATGGTGGAAAAGCAAAGGGTTGACTTGAACCCTCCTAAGAAAAAATCGATAGTACCACCAGGAGTACACATCATGCAGCTGGAGAACCACTGTTTTTAAGAGTTCCGTATATGTTTTTGTTAGTTTTTTTTCTTAAAGAGACATAATCATGCCAAAAGATCACTGTTATAGAACAATGATTAATATAAAAAAAATTTATAGTTTAAAAATTAAAGAGTTTAAAGCTGCAGAAAAGCTATGCAACAGTCTGTTATTCATCTGCTATTCTACATTCATCAATAATTGTCTTGCTTGTTATAAAGATATTTAAGGTAATGAAAAATTGTCTTATTTATACAGCAGAACTCTGCTGTAAACTGAGTGGAACCCTTCCAGAACTCTGGAAGGGTTCTCCCAGGAATATTAAAACATTTCGCACACGACTCAGTGCATGCGCATTAGCATGCAGGCTATGAGCTGAAGCACTGAGCCAAGGGCACCTTAACTATCAGTTGCTACACACAGTTCAGGTGAATTGTTGCTCAGAAAGAAAGATCCGCAATGCAGCTGGAAGCAGCACAGCCAGGCCTGCTACTGTTATTCTGACAGGACAGATAGCTGCTGTACTGTCCTCCAGTATCACAGGTCCTGTTGCAATTTAGTGAAGAATTGAGGCTCCAGGCTCCTCTGGTCTGTGGCGGTGATGCAGCAAGGCATTTCCCTCTGAAACTCAACACGTAATATCAAAACCTGGTTTCAGTTCAACTGTCATGTGATTGGTTGATGAGGTGTCTAATGTGATGGCTTTCAGTTTGCTGGCTAAGCGATTCTGTCGCACAAAGTCTCCATGCTGCACTCTTTTTTTCTGTCTGGACTTAGATTGAGCCTCTTTGAGACCTGCTCACTCCCTGTCAGCTGAACATGCTCTTCTCTCTGAGCCGTCGAACTGCGGTGAAGATGTTTGGACTGATGAGTAAAGTCAGAGTAAATGCACGATTGTTATGTATTCAGACAGCCTTTAAAATGCAAAACGTACGATTCTAAATTCATCAATACTTTATTGATTCCAGAGGGAAATTAAATATTGTTGTCATTCATGTCAATTCAAAATTCGTCAAATAGTCATTGGCTGGTTTCTAGTGCATGTTAATTCCATACCTCTAAACAGGAGAGAAAGAAAGGATAGTGTCTTAACATACGACAGAGACTTTGAATGGTGCATTCAAGTTCGTTGACTGTTGATGGCAACAGTTTTGTTGATATTACTGTGGAGACGAAGAGCTTTAGTATACAGTTCTTCTTACTATAATCTGTCTCCTTTCCTGACTGTACATCCCTGCAGCTTTCACCCCTCCTCCTCCTCCTGTGTTGCTGTGGAGGAAGATGTGGTTGCCATGGTTACAACTTCCTGACTGCAAACGTAATTTATTCAGGAATGTGCGGCGGAAACGGGGAAGCAGAGAATGCATTGTGTATAATCTGAGCTGAGCTGATTTATTACAGTAAAAACAGCGATGAATGAAACATTTCTCTGGCGTTCGGCGGAGTCAGTGAAGCTACTTGGCCAGCCGCTGATTCTTCCCCACAGACTCTTCTTTTTAAATTCTTTTTTTCTTAAGCAGCAACATCATTTACCAAGCATCCCCCTGCACCCGTACACACACACACACCCACACACACACACACACACACCCACACACACACACACACACACACACACGCACACGCACGCACACACACACACACACACACACACACACACACACACACACACACACACACACACACACACACACACACACATTCCTTCACCTAGAGACTCAGCTGTGTCCCCTCCCCCTCGTGATGTGATCACATTCCTCTGAATGTTTAAAACTGACGAATGAAGCATTTCTGAGTCTGACCTTTTGTCCTTGATCAGCATGGCTCTCACCAACACACACGAAATTTACCTGCTTTGCTCTCTATTTGTACCTCCTCTGTACACATAGATAGATTACACATTTCAAACCCATTCACCACCGAATCTCACCCAGAAAAACAAAGCAAAACAAAAGAAAAAGCACCATGCAGCACAAGCATTCCAAGTCGTGGCCCAAAAAACAGAAATAAGCCGTTTATTTTTCATTTGCGCTTTCAGCGCTGGGGAAGAAATGTTTAAATATTACAGTTTGTGCTGTGCATCATCTTGAACTTCTTCAAGATGGAAGAAGAAGAAACAGGAACTAGAGACAAAACATAGTGGGCAATTTGTTGAAGACATTTATTCTCAAATGAGGATGAAACTGCAGGTTGAGGTTCCATCACTACCCAGCGATGGAGCCTAGGTTAGGTCGACTATTTTCCATTTCTTAAACTGTTGTTAGTGTTATGAGACAAAAATGGTCAAGTGGTACATTTAAAAAATATATAATTTGTGCTGAGCTGGAGGACGTAACAGGCTTTCTGTAAAGATACAGACTCATCTAAATGAAAGCCCTTATTGAAACCACCTGCAGCCCAATGGTCATGTGATGCTTCTGTGAGAGCAGGGCTTGAAGAACAAAAAGCATCTTGTGAAACCAGGTGTCCTACCACACTACAAACTGGACTTAAGACTTTGCAATAAGTAGGAATTCCAACTGGAGAGCTTTTTGCTCCAGAGCGATGGAGCAGGTATCGAACCGCAGCAGGTTATGTGGAGATGTTGTAAGGGGCATTTCATTTCTGATGACTTGAATCTCAATCAGGAAAACATTGCAGATCACAAGGCCTGTCTGACAAAGGACATGTTTCATGTTTCAGAAGTGGTAACTTCTTCAGCAACCAAGCTGGTGTTGCTTCAACTGGTGTTACTGGAAGACTCTAATCTAAACAAGGTTTTGAAATAATTAACAAGAACTAAAATGTAATCTATTCAGCAAGGTTTCCTTTGTCAAACAGCTTCTTCAGGATGGACAAAACCTGAAATCTTCTTCAGTCTTTGTCGCCTGAAGAAGCAAAATGATAAACATTCTTCTTCTAGCTTTAATGTTTTTGCCCCGCGTCAGGAGATTATACTCCACATATTCATTATTTTAATGTTTGCTGCATAATCTTGCCAAAACACTTGTGAACCTTCTTCAGATCAGCCTTAGGAAGGTTAATGCAAACCAGGTCAGAGGGGGCAGCATGAGACGGTAAATAAAAGGCTTTCCCTTTGTGAACAGCGGCTGCTGTCCTCCATCAGTTGTGTTGCTTAGCAACAGCAGAGGCAGACCGTCTTCAACAGCTGTTTGGGATCATTCTGAGCAGCTTTATGACAGAGCAGGAGGTCGGAGCGGCAGCCATTTTATCCCCACTCATCTTACAGCTGCAGGCGGAGAACTGTTCATGTCTGCATTCACACAATGGATTCTCAGACTCTAACCTTTAAATGCCTAACGCTGTGTTTCCCTGATTCTGCAGTGAGACATAGCTGATAGAAGATTGTGTTTGTTTAGAAGCTTTTGTCTGATGCTCCTCTCCGTCTCATGAAATGAAAAACTCAACCCAAGTCACCCAAATGCAGTTTGAGTCTTGAGTGAAATTCTGTAGATGTTGAAGGAGTCATGTGTCAGACCAGGGGCTGAGATGAAAGTCAAAACCTTTCTGGCAAAACCATCAAGCCCTGCTGTCATTATGACATCTGGCTGATTTTGCTCAGAAACTC